GTCTTCGACGAGGCCGTCGACGAGGTCGTCGACGAGGTCGTTTTCGTCGGAAAGAGCGCGTTCTGTGGTCGCTTGGAGGGGTGTGTGTTTGGAACTCGACCCCCCCCCCTTTCCCGTGACGGAGGGGGGGGGGTTCGAGCCCCCCCCCTCCCTTCCTTCCCTACTTCTCCTCTCTCCCTCTCCTCTGGCCGGCGCCTGCGTCGGCGCCGGCTGGCGGCGGCGGCGGGGCCGACGACTTCCTTTTCTGGGCCGGCGCCTGCGCCTGCGGCGGCGGGCGGCGGCGTCGGAGCGTTGGCGAGGACGACGGTGGTGGTGGTGGTGGTGGGTTGTGGTGGTGGTGGTGGCGGTGGTGGTGGTTGTGGTAGTGGTGGTGATGTGGTGGTTTGTTGTAGTGGTGGTGGTTGTGGTGGTGGTTGTGGTGGTGGTGGTGGTGGGGGGGGTTGGTGGTAGTTTGGTGGTGGTGTTGTGGTGGTTTGTGGTGGTGGTAGTGTGTTCGTGGTGGTAGGTTGTGGTGGTGGCGGTGGTTTGTGGAGGTGGTGCTGGTTGGTGGTGGTGGTGGTGGCGGTGGCGTTGGTGTTGTGGTGGTTTGTGGTGTGGTGGTGGTGGTGGTGGTGGTGGTGGGTTGTGCTGCTGCTAGTGGTGGTGGTTGTGGCGGTGGTGGTGGTGGTGGTGGTGTGGTAGATTGTGGTGGTGGCGGTGGTGGTAGTGGTGGTGGGTTTTTTTGGTGGACGGTGGTGGTGAGTTGTGGTGGTGGTGGTGGTTGTGGTGGTGGTGGCTGTGGTGGCGGTGGTGGTGGTTGTGTGGTGGGTTGGTGGTGGGTTGCGGTGGTGGTGGTGGTGGTGACAGTGGTAGTGGTAGTGGTGGTGATGGTGGTGGTAGTGGTGGTAATCGACACTGCGTCCCCGCCGTCGCCGGCGCCGGCGACGGCGCTGCTGGCCGCCGCCAGCGCCGGCGCCAGCGCGGGCGCGGGGGGGGGGGGTTGGACCCTTCCCCCCCCATTGGGCTGCCGGCCTCTGGTCATCGTCGCTGTCTCTGCCGTCGGCGCTGCTGGCGGCCGCCAGCGCCGGCGCTGGCGCTGGCGCCAGGGGGGGGAGTTGAGGGAGGGGGGAGGGGGGTTCGGGAAGGGGGGGCTTGGGGGGGAGGGGAGTCCCCATGGTTCTGATCGTCGGCGCCGGGTGTTTGGGGGGTCCCCCGGTTCGAAACGCGCCGCCGAATGTTCCCAAGGCAAGCGCCCGTGAAACGCGCTCTCTCTTTTTCGTCGAGGTCGTCGTCGAGGTCGCCCGACCTACAGGACCCGCTTTCCTGCCAGGAGGCCCGGAGATCTGAGGCTCCAGCACAGCTTGAAGCGGCGGGATTTGGGCAGTTTGGGGCCTGCCGGGGCCCGCCGGCCCCGGGGACGTGATCCGGACCTCCGGGGCCCACGCCTCGAGAGCATTGGGGCGGCAGGGTGCCTGGGTGCCGGGAAGGAAAGCGCGAGAGCACCGTCGCGGGCGCTGCAGGGGGGCTCCGCAGGCCATCGGGGGGCTCACGCCCCTGGCGGCCGCACCCCCCCGGCGCCCGCGAGGGTTGGCGGTCGCGTCGGCAGCAGTGGGCTTGCCGTGCCCCCCGGCCGCTGCCTCGAGCACCGCCTCCGCCGACTGCCAGCAAGTTGTAGACGACTTGTGCGCGGCGCGGAGGCGAGAGCCACATTTGGCAAGCGGCCGGCCTTCCTCCGATGAGACGTTTGCAAGCGTTCAAGATGACTGCGCGCGGCGCTCAGGGGGGAGAGCCACCTTTTGAAAACGACGCACCCTCCATCCGAGAAGGTCTTGCCAGCTTTTACCGCAAGTGTGCGCGGCGCTACGGCGAGAGCCACATTTTGAAAACGAGCCGCCCTGCTAGCCTTTATGGCGAAGGCGCGCGGAGGCGGGAACCACATTTTGAAAACAGCCCGCCCTCCATCCGTGCACCTGTTGCAATCTTTCATGGCGAATGTGCGCGGCGCTTAGACGAGAGCCACCTGTTGAAAAGGAACCGCTCTCCTTCCGAGAAAATGTTGCGTACTTCTGAAATTGTGCGCGGCGCTACGGCAAGAGCCACATTGTGAAAACGGCCCGCCCTTCATCCGCGAAACTGGTGCGAACTTCACATTTCAGGGGTGTAACTGGTGAGGAAGTCTCCGCCGAAACGCCCGGCCCACGCTGCCGATCCGTCTCGGGGTGCGACAGGGAGGAGATGTTTGGCAAGGAAGAGGGGTGGAGGTGGAGGAGGCCCGTCGGTCGGACTCGGCATTGCAGCAGTCTGCGCGCCGTCAGAAGAGGAGCGAGGAGGGATGCTCGTGGAGTAACCAGGCGCGCCTTAGGTCACCGGTGGAGGAGGGCGGAGGGAGGATGAGCAGGGAGGAGGAGGAGGAGGAGGAGGAGGAGGAGGAGGAGGAGGAGGAGGAAGAGGAGGAGTGTGGGGGAGGGAAGGGATGAGGAGGAGGATGAGGAGGAGCAGGAGGGGGAGGAACGGGGGGGGGAGGGAAAGGGGGAGGGGGCAAGCCAGGTGCGCTCGCGCCATGTCTGACATTCTATATCACTCCTTAGCGTCCCTTCCCATTGCGCGGACTTTTTATGCATTCGTAGCAGACCTGGAACTCCAAAACAGACACCATCGTGTTATTCGCAATCGGTAAAAATGGGAGCTGCATGCGTGCATAGGGGAGGAGGAGCAGGAGGAGGAGGAGGAGGAGGAGGAGGAGGAGGAGGAGGAGGAGGAGGAGGAGGAGGGGGGGAGGAGGAGCCACCAGCAGCAACCCGACCCACCAAGGCGGGGCTGTGGGGGGTCGCGCCCGAGCGGCGCCCCGACCCGGAGTCCTGTGCTGGGGGGCCGCCGGGGAGGCGGAGGAGGAGGAGGAGGAGGAGGAGGAGGAGGAGGAGGAGGAGAAGGAGGAGGCGGAGGAGATCCTCCTCCTCCCCCGCACGCACCAGAAGCCGTTTGGGCCGTGAATTAGGAAAAGAGCACGCCAGCGCCCCCCCCCCCCTCTCTATGGCGTCCGCCGTGTCCTGGCAGCGCGCCGAGCGCGCTGGGTTCTCGCCCCTCCCGAGCGTGGAGACCGAGGCGCGGCCGCCGCCACTGCCTGGCTGCCGCTGCCGGTGCCTGGCATCACCCAGGGGATCCGATGCTCCAGCCAAAACTGGAGCGGCGGGATTCTGGCAGTCTTCGGCCTCCGGGGGCCCTGCGGGCCTCGGGGGCGAGGACAGAGCGACCCGGGACGAACAACGGGCCCCGGGGAACCCGGGGAAGTGGTCGACCTCTGCATGGGGCCCGCGCCCCGAAAACCGGAGCGGCCGGATGTCTGGGACCGTAGCTGCGCGCCGCGTCGCTGCGCCGCGGCGGCGACGACGGCGCGGGCGCTCAGGGTCGAACGCCCTCTCGGGGGGGCCGTCTCGGGCCCGTGCACGGGGGGCCCTACGGAGGGCAACCCACGGCGCGAGCTCCACGCGAGGTGCGGGGGCCGTTGCGTGAGGTCCAGCCCCGGGCCTCCTCCCCAGGCCGGTTTTTTGGGAGGTCGAGTCGCCGCGGCGATCGCGGTGGCCACACGTCGGGGCACGGCTTGTTGTGAAGGAGTGGCATCTGCCCCGTGCCAGCCTCCCAGTCCCGCCCCGCTTTGCGATGTAGACGTGGCGCATGATCTACCGAATCGCAACAGAAAGCTGTCAATGTATGTCCAACATGGGCAGTCATGTTGTTGGTTAAGGACCTATAATCACGCAACCAAATGGGGTCGGCAGCGTCCAGGCACTTTCCGAGAGAGATCCTCAAGTATTGAAAGGTTCGCGCGGGGTCAGAAACCAGAGCACGTCGTCGAGACAGGTGACGAACACCCCAAGCTGTCCGATGAAAGGCAGAGAGAGAGGGGGAAAGAGAGAGACACACACAAGCACACACATGCACACCACACCACAACACACCACAAGACAACACACCACACCACAACACAGCACACCGCACTACAACACAACACAACACAACACAACACAACACACCACACCACACCACACCACACCACACCACACCACACACACACACGCACACACGCACGCACGCACGCACGCACGCACGCACATACGCACCTACGCACACCCACACACATACACACGCACACACGCACACACGCACACACCCACACCCACACACCCACACGCACACAAACAAAAACAAACAAACAAGCCAGCAAGCGAACAAACGATCAAGCAAACAGACAGACACACACACACACATGTACACACAATCGCACCCACAGTCCCACACACAATACCGTAACTTGCTGCACCGATTTTGTTACCCCACTCGAGCAAAGCACACCTCACGACACGAAGCGCAGGCTGTTCAGTCAGAGTGGGTGGGGGCCCTGGTCAGGTGCGGTAGAGGGGGGGTGATCGTCCAGGGCGTCCTCGTTGCGGCTCCCCTCCCGCCTGCGGGTGTGACAGAGCTTACGCATGTTTCGCCAATGGGCCTGGCTGGTTTGGTTAACCGCATGCCCGCGGTAATACAGCATCCCCCCTTACCCCCTGAGTGTTTTTCAGGATTCGTGCTCAACCAACTCCTTCAAGCTCCTGGGGAAGGCTTCTCCAGATCAGCTTGGGAGGTCATTCAAGACCCATCCACACATTTCAACATCGATATCTCCGGGAAAAAACACGATCCTCCCAGGACCCCGAATCTGATTATCCCCATGGTACGGTTATCACGAGCACAGGGTTAGAGAGCCGGTCGTGACCTCGGCCATTTGCTCTGCTGAGCGTTTGTTCCACTCTAGGCGTGCCCAGGGCCATGCAGGCAGACGCAGACACAAGCAGAGACAGGCACAGGTACAGGTATACGCAGTCGGAGGCGAATTGGCGGACAGAGTCGGGCAGACATAGACAGAGACAGGCGGACAGAGACCGAGACGGATATAGAGACCTCTGCCGAGACAGGGACCGCAGCCGGAGACGAATCCGGAGACAGAGATGGAGACAGGGGACATCGGCATAGTGAGACAGGCGCAGACACATACTGACATGACCGTGCCGAGCAGCAGGACATGCCGCGGGCGCGTGTCCCCGCAACAGCGACTCCTTGCAGCGTGCCCTTGTTACGAGAAGAAGCTACTCCGTTCCGTTGCCGGTTTGGCTCAAGCGCTGTGGCCGCCTCGAGTGTCCCGCCTGGCCTCCAGTAACGAGCTGGCTCGCTCGCGCGGGCAGGGCGTTGTTCCGGCCGAGCCTCCCCGCCCCGAGCTGATGGCGGCTGCTCGCGTGGGCCTTCCGCCGCTGCTCGCGCTGCTGGCGCTCCGCGTCGCGGGCGCGGCGCCGCGGGCGGGCCGCAGGCTGTGGTCCTGGGCGCAGCAGCTGGACCACATCTGGGGCCGGTGCGACCAGGATCGGCGGCGAAATCCTAAGCCCCTCGCCTCCTCCTCCTCCTCCTCCTCCTCCTCCTCCTCCTCCTCCTCCTCCTCCTCCTCCTCCTCCTCCTCCTCCTCCTCCCTCCTCCTCCTCCTCCTCCTCCTCCTCCTCCTCCTCCTCCTCCTCCCTCTCCTCCTCCAATTCCTCCTCCTCCAATTCCTCCTCTCTCCTCCTCCTCCTCCCTCCTCCCTTCTCCTCCTCCTCCTCTCCTCCTCCCTCCTCCTCCTCCCTCCCTCCTCCCTCCTCCTCCTCCTCCTCCCTCCCTCCTCCCAGCCGTTTGGGCCCCGACCGCCCGAGGTGCTGAGGTGCACCACGGGCTTTTGTGGCCTCCGACAATCTCCACGCGATTTCGGCTGGGATGGACAGTCCTCGAGACGGGATCCAGATCACAAATAGTCGGTAGAAAAAACGATGGGTAAGAGCAAGCGCTCTCGCATCGCGAAGAAGCAGCAGGAGGTGCAGCCTGGGGACCCATGGCCGCCGCTCCCGCTCCGTCCTGGGCCTCAGCAGGCCGCGCCGCGGGGGAGCGGCATCGGGTGGGCGCCATGGCATGTGCCTCAGCCGTGGTATGTGCCGCCGCCGCCGCCCCTGCCTGGGGCTGTGCGGCACCAGCGTGAGTCTCCCCAGGCTCAGGACACCAAGGTGAAGTGCTCGGCGTGTCCGCGCTGGGCCTGGACGAGTAAGTTGGCGATGTATAAGAACACTTGCCTCTGCGGGGCGCCCTTCAGCAACCTTCCGCCGCCCGAGGCCGACGTGGGCGGTGGCGGGCCCAAACCTGGCAAGGGCAAGGGCAAGGGGAAGGACCTGGGCGCTTTGGAGGCGCAGCTGGAGGCGGTCCTCAAGGAGCGCGGCGGCACCGAGCAGGCGAAGGCGGCCCAGGCGCTGCTGGATGCTACGCGGGCTGCTGGCAAGAAGGCGGACACGGCGCTACCGATCACGCAGCAGGTGACGGCGGCGGCGTCGAAGGTGCAACGGGCTCAGTCGGCTTTCGACAAGGCCCAATCTCAGCAGTTGAAGTTGTCCAGGGAATTGGAAAAGTGTAAGACGACGCTCCAGGATGCTGCGCAGACGTTGGCACAGGCTGAGGCGGAGAGGGCCACTCTTTTTCGCTCCATGGTGCCGACGGCTGCGGGCGGTGGCGGTCAGGCGAGCAACACCATCGATTTGTCGGCGCTGTTGTCGGCGCAGTCGGTGGACGACTCGCTGTTCTCCATCTCTCTTGGTGCTGAGTTCGACAATGAGGATGGTCTCATCGAGCAAAAGGATATGGAAGAGCTGGATCGTCGGAAAAAGGCTGTCATGGATGCGCTGATGCACACCTTGCGAGCCACGTTCGGTGAGGCTCACGAGAAGCTCAAGGAGCATCGCGACAACCTGTCGGCGATGCGCGAGAAGGTCGCCAAGCGGCGCAGGGAGCATTCGCCTGGGCCACCTCAGGCGGCGGAGGCGACGGGCGCTGGTCCTGCGCCTGCGGCGGCCTCGGCCAACCAGGCGGGCTCGGGCGCGGCCGCCAGCTCGGCTGCAGGCGGCTCTGCGGGCGACGGGGGCGAGCCCGACGCTGTGGAGGCGGCGCGCCTGGCGGCTCTCGAGAGCAAGCTCAAGGCGGACGCGGAGGCGCTGCTGGCGACGGCGCGCTCGGCGGCGGCTACGGCTGGGCCGCCGAGCCTTTAGCCGCTCGGATCCCCTCGATCGCGGCGGGCCTGATGGTCGAGGGGCATGCCCGCCAGCTACGAGTACGAGATCGGCCCCTACAAGTGCTGGCGCTGCTGCGGATGCTCTGGCCACTGGGACCCCCTCACCCCCTTTCGTTGCAGCGCGTGGGCGTGAGCCCTGTCCGCAGTCGACGGTGTCGACTGTGGGGGCCGCTGAAGGGGGGGAGGCGTGCGTTCTCGGTGGCCCCGCGGCAGTGGTGGCTTCGTCGTCTGGGACTTCCAGTTCGTGTACAGACCTGGCAACCGCAGGCCCCCCCCGCCGCTCTCCGAGCGGTCTCCAAGGGGTTAAAGGGGGGGAGCGCCTTCTCGGGGGCCAGGTCGGATCCGATGCAGTCGTGACCCGCCGTGCGCTGTACATGCGGAACTTGGGTGGATGGGGACCTGCTGCGCGATCTGTGCGTCGAGGTCGTGCCGCTGATATCCTCGTGTTTCCTGAGACTCATGTTCCTGAGGCTGGATCGTACGAGTTGTTGCATGATTGGCGCAAGGCAGGTTACATCGGCATGTTGTCTGCCGCTTACGAGCAGAATGGTAAGTTTCGAGCAGGTGGCATCACCATGGGCGCTTTGAAGAAGTACAAGGTTCAGTCGATGCGGCATTTGGCGTCGTCGCCATCGGACCAGGTCGGGCTTCGTGATCTGGATCGGCGTCCAGAGGCCCTGCCAGGCATCGACTTTCGTGATATGGTGGCTATGCAGCTACGGGCCCAGGGCCAGTTCTTGTTGATCGTTGGCGTGTACATGACCTCTTCGATCGGGCCGAAGGCTAACGCTTCCAAGCTCGCTAACGTGGGCACTTTGGTCTCGACGGTTCAGGGGCCGTGGCTCGCCATCGGTGATTGGAATATGACCCCGAAAGAGTTAGCAGGTACGGGTTGGTTGGATCTTGTGAATGGCAGTGTGATCGTTCCGTCCAACACCGAGTACACGTGCACGTTGGGCTCAGGGCGCATGTTGGATTATATCGTGGCTTCTCCGCATGCAATGCCGTGGGTCGAGTCTCTCTTGGCGGACTTTCAGGCGGTGGAGGGGGCGGGCAAGGCCCATTATGGGCTTCAGCTCAGCCTCAACTTCGACGCCTGCCGTGCCAGAGCGTGGCTCATGAGGTTGCCGCGAGCTTTCCCACACCCTGCTCGGCCTAAGCTGTGTGCTGATCCTGATAGCAAGCGCTCGCGGAAGAAAGCGGAGCAGCAGGCGGATCGAGAGGTTCAACCCTTGGGTGTCATGCCCGCTCCACCGTCTTGGGGGCCGAGGCGCAAGCTGGTCATCAAGAGCCCGCCCCCGCTGCATTATGCCCTTTTTGACGAGGAGGAGGACGGGGTTTTCACGGACGGTGAGGACACGGACGTCCCTGATGATGATGATGATGTGCAGGTGGCCGTCTCTGATTCGGAAGTGGACACGTATGCCCCGATTCAGTCGGAGTGGTCGTCGGAGGCGAAGGATCTGTTGTGGCAGCAGGTGGCGCCCTCAGTTTCGCGTCGACCCGTTCCTGATTTTGTTCAGCAGTCTTTGGCGTTTCAGGCGGCCGAGGAGGAAGCTCATGACCTTGGGGATGTTTTCGCGTCTTGGGTCTCAACCATGGAGTTGTATTATCTTGAGTTGTATAAGGTGGACCCCTTGGCGAGGAGGCGGTACCGTGGTCGTGATTCCTTGCGAGGCCCTCAGTTGGGAGTGTATGCTGGGAGCAAGCCTTACCCTGCTGTCGCTGATCCTAGCGCTCGCTGGTGGGCCTCTGTGGCTAACCTGTTGGATGAGTTGGTGGGCCAGAAGGGGGACAAGCGCAATCTCCCTCGGGCACGGCATCTTCGCGACCAGCTTACGCAGCTGGCTGGCTCCATCCCGTCTACGCAGATCGTTCCCCTGCCTGCCCGTCGTCGTGATGGATGGCTTCGTGGTCTGCGAACTTTGGATGGGGCGACCTCGGAGTCGTTGGCGGCTTTCGCTGCTGGGGCGCGCAGGGCCTCGGACCAGGCCCAGCGCGCTGTCGCTCGGCAGCGTCACCACGCTTTTCGCGATTGGGTCCAGCAGCAGGCTGTTCTGGGATGTGGCGCTCTGCATCGGTTTGTACGGGACCCCACGGCCGAGGTCAGCGAGGTCAGAGTGCACGGCGACACTTCTTTTGATGCGGCTTATGTGATGGAGGCCAATGCGGCGCTGTGGAGTGCGATATGGACGCCATCCGACGTCGTCGACGACCAGGCGCTCCGCGTGCTGCAGCGGGCTCGGAGGCTGGCGCTTCAGGACGAGCTGGAGCCCCTCACTCTGGAGCAGCTGGAGGAGGCGCTTCGCGCTGTGCCGCCTCGCAAGGCGCGCGGCATCGAGTCGGTCGGCCAGCGTGACGTCTGGTGGCTGCCTGAGTCTGGCCGCCGTGCGCTGCTCGATCTGTTTCACTTGATCGAGGCCAAGGTTGCTTGGCCTTGGCAGTGGCTCACCGCTATCGTTGTTCTGCTTCGCAAACCTGATGTGCGCAAGGATCGCGCCATAGGCTTGCTTACCTGGCTGGGTCGTTTGTGGAGCCGCATGCGGTCTCGCCCTGCGGAAGTGTGGGCTGCGGCTCGCTCTGGTCCTTGGGACGCCGCAGTTCGAGGCAACAGCGCTCTACGAGAGGCTCTGCTCAGGTGTTATGCTGACGAGGCTGCGCTTGCCTCAGTCCTGCCTGAGTATTGCTCTGCCTCAGTGTTGTGGGATGTGGAAGCGTTCTATGACACTATCCGGTGAGATCGCGTGGTCGACCATGCGATCCATCTTGATTTTCCCCCGCATCCCCTAGCCTTGGAGGGTATTCTTCACATGGGGCCTCGGCTTTTGAGGGACGAGGGGGTTTTCGCTCCGCCTATCATTCCGCATGGTGGGCTTGTGGCTGGAGCTCGTAGGGCTCCCGATTTCTCGAAATGCCAAATGTTCGAGATTTGTGAACGTGCGTGTGCCAGCAGTGCCCTTGTTTCCCTCCGTACGTGGATCGATGACGTCACCCAGCGTGCGGAAGGTCTCAAGCGAGATGTCATTCGTGAATTAATCCAAGCTGGGGCTGTTTTTGCCTCGGGCTGCGAACAGGAGCAGCTGAGGATTGCCAGCAAGTCGACTATCGTGGCGTCTGAGCTTTCGGTGGCGGGTGCTATCCAAGCTGGCCTAGGATCGAAAGGCATCCAGGTCGAGGTGGCCTCGGTTGCGGCGGATCTGGGCATTGAAAGGGGCAGTGGCGTTTCTGTCGCCAAGCCCCGCCACTCGAAGCGTCTCGGGCAAGCCACTCGTAGGGCGTGTCGTATCCATAAGTTAGCTGCTGTGGCCCCTCGCAAGATCGGGGCGCGTTTGATCCTCACTGGGGCTTTGCCGCAGGCTTCTTACGCCTGGAAGGTCTTTGGGGTCGCGCCCTCGGTCCTCCAGCAATGGCGACGGGCCCTAGCCAGCAGCTTAATTCGAGGCCAGGCGGGGCGGTGTCTCACGACCCTGCTGGCCTTGGAAGTTCGGAAAAAGGACCCTGCCTTCACCACGGTGTTTCAGCTTTTGGAGTCCTGGTTTCAGATCGTCGCTGCGTTGCCTGAAAAAAGGAGTGGACCGCATGCGTGCTTGTTGGTCTGCCACGGTCGAGAGGATCGATTGCTTGGGCCCCCAGCGCAGGTGGCACAATATAAAAGGACCTGTGTCAGCTGTGGTCGCTACCATGACGGCTCTGGGATGGAAGCTCGATGGGCCTTGGTCTTGGGTTGCTCCTGGGGGTGATGTCTTCGCCGTTCCCGATGAGCTTCGCTCCCAGGCTTATATGACGTCGGATTTTTAAAAGGAAGTGGGCCGTAGCATTGAGGCACGTTTATGGTCTGCTGCCGCCGAGTTCCGCAATGGAGGGGGTCTTGCATCTGGCGTCGACCTCAAGGTTGCTTGGCGGCACCTTGCGTCCTTGCGTAGGAAGTCGCCTCAGAAGGCGGGCTTGCTCAGGGCTGTCCTCACTGGGGCCGTCTGGACGAGGGGCCGTATTCAGGCCTCTGGGGGAGAGTGTGAGCTCACCTGTCCCCGTTGCAACTCGGCCCCTGGAACGGACGTCCATCGTTTCTGGGAATGCCAGTGCAACAGTGAATTTCAGGAAGTGGACGATGGGTTCGCGCGTAAGGCCGCCTCGGTGGCTGCCGAACTCCCATGTTTCTGGCTTCGCGGTCTCGTGCCCCGTGAGTGGACGTCCGTCCCTCCGCCTCCCGACGACCCCATCCTCTGTGCCGCTGGTGTGTTTCCTGGGCCTCGGGGGGGAACTCGCATCTGGGGCGCGGGGGATGCGAGTGGTGGGGAGTTTACGAAGGACAAGCGTCTCAGGCGGGTGTCATGGGGCGTCGCGGTTTTTGGCCATGATGTTTTAACCCTGCCCCCACTTGTGTCGGATGCCGACATTCAGTTTCTCTCTGGAGGCGGGATCTCTGGTAAGCAGTCTGTGAATCGTGGGGAGCTTTGGGCCCTTCTTGCGTTTTTGGAAGGAGCTCACCCCCAGGCGTGTCTTGGATACGTCGCGGATTCGGCCTATGTTGCGAGGGGATTTGCTCGCATCAAGGCTGGCCTTTTGCAGCGAATTCAGACTCATGTTGATCTCTGGTGGCGTGTCCAGAGCGCTCTGGATCGTCTTGGGGATGTGGTTCTCATTCTGATTCCGAGTCACCTCAAGGTTGAGGAGGCCGTGCGCCTTGGATTAAACCCTGGCGTCGTGCTGGCGAATGCGGTGGCCGATGCGGTTGCGAGCCACTTCGCCCAGCAGGTTCAGGTCCCATTTGCTGTCTCGGCTCCCGTCAGATTCGCTGATGGGTTAGCTCGGAAGGTACAGAATCACTTGCTTGCTGTGATGTCAGATGTTTTGGAGCGTGAGGGCGGACGCCCTCCCCGACCCCCTAAGGAGAAGGCTCGGAGATCGGCCCGCCAGCTCCTTCGTGCTGCGGCGGTGAGGTCCTCTCATAATTGCCCCATGCTGTGGGGGGACTTCGCCCAGTGCCAGAGATGCGGTTGCTCTTCAACCGCCCGTGACCTGACATCGTTTTTGAATTCGCAGTGTACTCCTATGGAATGGTCTGGTGCGGTCTATCGACCGACGGCTGCTGTGTGTGTTCGTAGTCGGCTTGTGGACCCTTCCCACGCCTTGGCGTTTTGGCCCGTGGCGAATGTGCTGTGGTGTTTGACTTGTGGGTCTTATTCGACCCAGCATTTGAGGGACCTGGGTAAGGTCTGCTCGGGCCGCCTCGAGAAGGCGGGGGCCCAAAACCTGTCCAGGATCGCCCAGGGCAAGGTCCCTGGGAGTTTGGTTTGGGGGAAGGAGCGGAGGGAGAGGGCTAGCGCGAATAGTGGGGAGGGAGAGAGAGAGAGAGCGGCGAGTGCGGCCCCGCGTGCTCGGCGCGCGGCGCCGTTCGGGTCTGCCGCGGTCGCGGCCGACTTCCACGCGGCCGTGGCCGCCAACAGGCGCCGCCCCGCCTCTCTCCCCCCGCCCGCGCGCCCTCCTCCGCCTCCTCTGTTCCCCCCGCCAACCTCGATGGCATAGTTGCCATTGAGGTTGGCCCTTTTCCTTTGTCCTTGATCATCATGATCGCTCGCTATATATATATATATATATATATATACTCCCTCCCTCCTCCCTCCTCCTCCTCCTCCTCCTCCTCCTCCTCCTCCTCCTCCTCCCTCCTCCTCCTCCTCCTTGCCGATCATCGTGAGCAGAAAACTTCGGATAGAGATCTGGAGCTCCGCGTGCATTTTTCGCATCGGCGCCGGGCCCCCCCCCCCCCACCGGCGGCGCCTCCGGCGCGCGCTCCGCGCGCCGGGGAGGGGGGTTTCAGCGCCGATCGAGGAAGCGCGCGGAGCTCAGGAAGGTTCGCTTATGCAGTTTTCTGGTTCCTCGAGATTCAGGAGGGAAAAAGCACAAAGACACAATTAATCGCCGACTCCCCAAACAATATAGGGAAATATGGGAAGTGGGGGGGAAGACAGAAACCCAAAACATATGGGAAAATATGGGGAATCCTGTTATTTGTGTGTATTTATTTGTGTGTCCTCTGGCCCCTTCATAGATCAGCGATTTAGGCAGCTTGCTGAGCGGCGGGGTCAGGTTTCGGAGTTCGTGCAGCACGTGGCAGAATCCGAAGCCAGCCCCCGCTTCCCATAGATTCAGAAGGCCCGATGGTTGGTGGGGGGTACATGTCGGTCGTTGAAAGTCAGTATGTTTGAATTTCCCAGATCCCAAACTACTTCCAGCACCTTCCCGCTTCAAGAACCGGTCTGCTTTTGCTGTGTTCTGTTGTGCTCTGGTAGGGCCTGGATCCAACCTGCTCAATAGTTTTACCTACTTCTGCCAATTGACGTGGAGGGTTCGGGTGTCACCGCCTGCAGGAGAGGGCGTATCCGCACGACGGCTTCGGCTGCTACCTGGAGGGCGGGGAGACCTGCAGCAGCAGACTCTCCGAGGGCCCCGAGGATGCCGACGTGGAGGTCGTCCTCGGCAACCTGCCCGCCTCAACCTTGGACATCACCGAGAATAGAAGAACCCCTAACCCCTAACCCTACTAGCACAGTGAAGACGTGGCCTCACTTCGGCCCCCGTCTTTGCATGAGGGATAATGGATCTGGTTGATTTGGCTTGGTACTCTGCACAGAAAAGACCCCCCATCCCTAATGAGCTTGGCCGTCCTAACTTCGGCTCCCTCCCAAAGGGTTAGGGGTCCATTTATTGCTAAGCAGGACAAACCAGTGCACTTGACGTTCTGGGCCCCCTACGAATCCCTGCGGTCTTACGACCCTCTCGAGAGCCACCTGAACGCGTCGATCTACCGCGGATTCGTCAACTCCTTCCCAAAGTACGACGATGCCGCGTTCAACGGGGGCAACGTGCCCGTCAACGATTCCGGCTTCGCCACGATCCGGATTCGGGACCCGTCTATCTACATCATCCACCCTTATCTCACGATGCCCCACGCCTACCTGCGGGTGTGCTACAGCGAATCGGGCGACAGCGTCGTGATGCACCAGGACACCCTGCTGTTTGGCATCGGCGAGCAGTGGGTCTCCACCAAGTCGCAGGACTCCCGGATCCAGGTGGCCTCCGCGAGGGCGTACGAGGCGGGCCAGACCGACCCGACCGACGCGGTGGCGTACGACATCCCCCATCCCTACGCATACGTCCACGCGATTCACCACCAGGACCAAGACGACTCAGAAGAGATCTCGCAGGAGCTGGGAGGGGTCACCACGACCGCGGCTACCGTGACGACGGAACCGCAGTCACCAGAGCTGTCGCAGATGATAGAGGCCGCCAAGGAGGCCCTGGACCTCGATGCGCTGACATACTCCCCCGTCTACGGCTGCTTCTTGGAGAACCAGTACTACTCGCACCACGAGGACGAGTGCGTCGACGAGTGCGCTGACGGCGAGGCCGTGGCCCACGGGCAGTGCGTGCGGGCGGAGGTCCTCGACGTGGCCGCCAGCTTCCAGGCGGAGTGGGAGCTCGGGGTGCACTGCTCCGACCTGTGCGGGGCGGACGCGGCCAACGAGACCCTGCACACGGTCCGCCTGAGGGCGGCGGGGCTGCTGGACGTGCCGTTCCAGGAGGTCACGGCCGTGTCCATGCAGTGGGCCGAGGCGGCAGCAAGGCGCCTGGAGCAGGAGGCGCGCGTGCTGGTGCTGCAGGTGTCCGTGACCACCCGGCGGGTGTCCGCCGACGTGGGCGAGCCCCTGCTGGGGGCGCTGCTGACGGAGGCGCCCGCCGCTTCTGGGCTGCTGCAGCTGCAGGTGGTGTCCGTGGAGCAGCTCTCCGGCCCCGTGGACGTCGACCCGGACCTCAGCATGGGCGAAGGCTCGGACCCCTACGAGCTGGCCTACGAGTACCTGGAGCCCTCCGAGGCGGAAAGGGAGGCCGCGGCGGGCAACCTCCTGCGCTCCCTCGTGCTCGCCGCCGCCGCGGCCACCGCCGCGGCCACCGCCGTGCTGCTCGGGGCGGTGCTCGGAGTCCTGCTCTGGCGGAAGCGCCTGCGCGCCCGCCGCGCCAGGGAGGTCGTCGCGAGCAAGGTGGCGGATCCCTGGGACGCGGTGCCCGGCGTGCAGGCCACGGAGATCGGCCAGCCCGACGTGGAGGAGAACAACACTGGCGCCGGGGTGCTGTGATTTTCTGTGCTGATTCGTCGGCTCCAACCTTGCTCAGTCGCCCCCGGCATTACATTTGTATGCCGCCTGGCGCTTGCATTGTGATTTAGGTCGTGCTTGCTGTGACTGTCGGCCTCGCTTACCCGTTGCATGTACGTAGATAGCTCCTTCTGCTGAAGCCATGGTCTTCGCGCTTGTATAGCCGAGAGTATTATACAGGAATGCTCTATTCTACAAGGCATGGTCAGTGATGCCTTTCCATATAGTCTTTCCAGGCAGAGCTGCGAGAGTTTGAAACCTCCAAGGCTTAATGCCTTGTGTGCCTGTCGTCTGATTTCCTCTCGCTGCGCATCCGTGTACTGTGACACTTCTGCATCTGCATCGAAATCAAACATAGCAAGTTTCTCTGTACAACTAATGGGGGACATGTGTGGGGAGCAATTCATGAGGTGCGATCTGTGGAGTGCAATTTGTACGGTGCACCAGATGCCGTGCACTTCACCAGCCTGCATTTGCGCGTGACAACCTTCATTTATCGAGCAAGCATCCCTCACGCCCACCCGCAACGAGCTGCAGAACTTAACTGAACCGTGACAGCGACGATGACGATGACAATGATGATGATGATGCTGATGATGATGATGCTGATGATGATAATGATGATGATGATGCTGATGATGATGATGATGATGATGATGACTTTCATGATGACGATGGAGACATCCACAACGACGATGGTGATGCTGATGGTATTCATGGTGATAGTGATGACGGTGGCGGCGGTGACGCTTTCGATGATGTTGAGGATGGTGTTGGTGAAGGTGATAATGAAGTGCTCGCGCTTAGCCATCTGACGAGGCGCGCCGACATCGACAATCACGACGATGGCCGTGGTGATGCTGACGATGATGGTGATGATGCCGACGAGTCCGGTGGCAATGGTGACGCTGACGATAATGCCACTGCCTGTGCTGATGAGTGATGCGGAACCCCGCGCCCGCAGAAATGTAACCCCGTACCGTAATTGGTTTGATGCCCATTTGGTTGTCGTATACGTTTGACCACTTCTGTGCTGAGGCGGTTCGAGAACCATGATCTTGGGCATGATTTCGGCGTGTGCGCGCGGCGGTGGGCGCGCGTGGCCCGCAGGGTCTTGTTTGACGGAGGCTGGCGGGCTCCCGGCGGTCTTTTGAACGCTGTTTCGGCATGCGCGCGCGTGTGGCCCGAACGCTGTTGTCCGACGGGGCGGCTTGATACCTGTGCTTGTCTGCTGTTGATGTTGGCGCTGGCCCACGTGTTGGTTGAGGTGCCGGCGGCGTCTGTATATACAGATGTATGTATGTATATATATATATATATATATAGATGTTTATCTATATGTATATATATATATATGTATATATGTATATAGATGTGTGTGTGTGTCGTTCTGGTTTGATTTGGCCAGGCCATTTGTCGCTGTTGGGAGTGTCTGACCTGCGCGCGCGGCGCAGCCCTCACGCGCTCAGTATGTTGTGGTTTGCAAGAGTTCCTCTGGACACGCGCTTTTCAGATCACCACATGTGAACCATACCGTGTTGCTCAAGAGGCTTACGCGTTTCCGTCTACCCCTAGAAGAGGATATGTGGGGCTTCCGATTTCGTGTGTGCTGTTTGCCCCTTCCCGTAGCGCTGCCTGATTGATTTTAGTTGTTGTTGTTCTTGTTCCCCACATCCAAAGTGGGGTTCTTGTTTTCTCTGGACACCCCGCGCAGGAACAGGAACACACACACACACTCACACTCACTCACACTCTCTCATCATCAACCTCATCAGCATCATCGATGATGCTCTCTCACATGCTTAGTCACTCACATACTCATCATCATCATCACTCGCACTCTCCCACACGCTCATGAATCATCATCATCATCATCGGCATCGGCATCATCCTCATTCAAACATCATCATCGCCACCACCACTCACAATCAATCATCATCCTCTTCACCACTCATCTTCACCACCACTCATCATCCTCATCCTCATCATCGTTGAGTAAATTGTGAGGAAGTCTCAGGCGGGAGCCCCCTCCCTATGGGGCCCGCAGATCATGTTGGTAATCCGAGCGGGTCATCGGAAACCTGTAACTGTCGTCACTTTTGGGCTCGTCAAGCCTGAAAATGGAGGAAGTCTCAGGCGGGAGCCTCGTCTGTGAGTGAATTGGGAGGAAGTCTCAGGCGGGAGCTCCCTCCCTATGGGGCCCGCAGATCATGTTGGTAATCCGAGCGGGTCATCGGAACCTGTAACTGTCGTCACTTTTGGGCTCCTCAAGCCTGAATTTGGAGGAAGTCTCAGGCGGGAGCCTCGTCTGTGAGTGAATTCTGAGGAAGGCTCAGGCGGGAGCCCCCTCCCTATGGGGCCCGCAGATCATGTTGGTAATCCGAGCGGGTCATCGGAAACCTGTAACTGTCGTCACTTTTGGGCTCTCGTCAAGCCTGAATTTGGAGGAAGTCTCAGGCGGGAGCCTCGTCTCTGAGTGAATTGTGAGGAAGTCTCAGGCGGGAGCTCCCTCCCTATGGGGCCCGCAGATCATGTTGGTAATCCGAGCGGGTCATCGGAACCCTGTAACTGTCGTCACTTTTGGGCTCCTCAAGCCTGAATATGGAGGAAGTCTCAGGCGGTTTTGTCCAGGGCGGAGGCGAAGCAGCTCGTGGCAGAGCTGGGCTTCGTGCTGCCTTCCGCCTGAGCGCGGCTGCGCCTCCCTCGAAGTCCGCGGGGTTGTCCCAACGGCTTGGTCTTGCGCGCCAACGGCTCGCGGGGTTGTCCCGACAGCCTGGCCCGCGGGGTTGCCCCAACGGCTGCGCGACGTGACCAGTAGAGAACGCGCCTGTGTTGGCCGTGGCGGCGACGGCGCCGAGGAACATCGACATGCGCGCTCATGCAACAGGAAGGGGAGGAGGTGGCGGGGCGCGGAACAAACAGGGGGGCGAGGATGGGGACAACGTAAGTAGTGGAAGGGGGGCCCGCGCCAAGGCGACAGGAAATATACGCAGAATAGACAGCCAGGACGCCTCACCAACCACGAGGACGACGGTGATGGTTTTTTTTTTCCAGATTCGCCCAGAGGATTCTTATGTGGGGTTCTTCCGTCGGAGTAATTGTTGTTGGGCAACAAATGACCTCAGTCCCCGTGCAACGGGGCTCCAGGTACAGTGTCGTCCTTGTGGTGTTGTTGTGGTGGTAGTGGTAGTAGTGGTAGTACTGGTAGTAGTGGTAGTACTGGTAGTAGTGGTAGTAGTAGTAGTAGTAGTCGTAGTAGTAGTAGTAGTAGTAGTAGTAGTAGTAGTAGTAGTCGTAGTAGTAGTCGTAGTAGTAGTAGTAGTTGTGGTTGTAATTGTTGTTGTTGTTGTTGATGCTGTTGTTGTTGTTGTTGTTGTTGGTGTTGGTGTTGTTGTTGTTGTTGTTGTTGTTGTTGTGGTGTTGGTGTTGTTGTTGTTGTTGTTGTTGTTGTTGTTGAACATTATTTATTCTAAAGAATAATTATTGTTGGGCCCCCTGGTGCGCGCCCCCCCTGCGCCGCCTAGGCCGCAGCTACATTTTCATCATTTTCGTGAGGAAGCCTCAGAAAAGAGGGTGTGTACAGGATCCGGTTGTTTTGTTGTAATCCGCTTTCCCTTGCAAAAAACAATAGAAAATGACATTTCTTGTTCTAATATAATCAAATTTCAAGAATCCCTTGCAAAAAATAAGGTAAAGTGGACATTCGCGCGCGCAAGACGAAATCCTTCCAAAACCTTAGTGTTCGCAGCGATTTTAACATAAAAACATCAAAAAACCAATGGTTTTTCAACAAAAAATTGTCAAAATCTCATCCCGCGCGCTCTTGCGGATTCGTAGGAAACCCAACACTTTTTAAACATTTCTGTCAAACGGGCTTTTGCGAGCAACTTTTTCGAACTTCTGCGACAACGGTTGCGCGCATGCCAGGGCCATCATCCCTGTCGAATAATACCATATGGGTCACATTCGTTTTTTCTTCGCGCGCGCACGCCGAAATCTTCAATTGCAGGGGGAAAAGTGTATACTAAGCTAGCTTACAGAAAATGTTACCACAACAAGTCATTGTACCCATGCGCCAGTGTAGTAGCCAAGGTCGTCCGCAGGCCACGAAGTGAGGTGTCCGAACGTCATAGGGCGGGAAGCTGGGTGTGGGTGGTGGCGAAGAGTCGTTTGGAAATTTGGTAGAGCTTGAACCGGCCCCCCCACAAAGTGGGGGTATTGCCCGCCTCCTATGAAAACCCTGGCACTGGTGAGAACGGAGTGTCCCCAGTCTTAAATGATTGTTGTTGTTGTTGTTGTTGTTCGCGAGGACACTACTGGAGGCCCGTTGCTCGACCCCCCCCCCCCGAGCAACACCACGGGGCCACGCACGGGCCCTGCAGGGCCCCTGGTCCGAGCAACGCCACGAGGCCTCGCCAGGCCGCTGCGGGGGTCTGCAGGGTCCTACAGCATTCCATCGGAATGCTATTGGAATCCTATTGAATCCCATGGGGTCCCTAGAGGGTCCTACAGGATCCCATAGGAATCCGATTGGAATCCGATTGGAGATTGTATCGGATCCCTACAGGGCCCTACAGGATTCCATCGGAATCCTATTGGAATCGCATTGGAAACCCATAAGATCCCTACAGGGTCCAACAGGATTCCATAGGAATTCCGTTGGAATCCTAGGGGGCTCCTATATTGGAAGCCTATAGGATCCCTACAGGGTCCTACAGGGTTCCATAGGATGCCAATAGGAATCCGGCTGGGGGTCTTACAGGATCCTTACAGGGGCCAGCAGGATTCCATCAGATCCCAATAGGAATCCAATTGGGGTCTTTTTTGGCCCCTATAGGATCTCTTCAGTGTCCTACAGGTTCCCATGGGAACCCTATAGGAAGCCTAGAGGATCCCTACAGGGTCCTACAGGATTCCACAGGAATCCGATTGTAATACTATTGGAATCCGGTGGAACCCCTGGCAACCCTATCGCAATCCTATAGGAAGCCTCTAGGAATCCGATTGTAATACTAGCAAACCTATAGGAATCCGAGGGAGGTCTCATAGGATCCCTGTTGGGTCCAGCGTGATTCCATCGGAACCCTATAGGGATCTTATCGGATCCTTACAGGGTCCTACAGGATTCCATCGGATCCCTATGGGGGTCTTATAGGATCCCTTCAGTGTCCTGCACGATTCCATAGGAACCCTATAGGGATCCTATAGGATCCTTACAGGGTCCTACAGGATTCCATAGGAATCCGATTGTAATACTATTGGAACCCGATGGAATCCCTAACAACCCTCTCGCAATCCTATAGGCCTCCTTTTGTAATACGACAGGATTCCATAGCAACCCTATATGGATCCGATGGGGGGACTTATAGGACCCCTACAGGGTCCTACGGGATTCCATCGGAACCCTATAGGGATCTTATAGGATCCTTACAGGGTCCTGCATGTTTCCATCGGAACCCTATTGGGATCATATAGGATCCCCTCAGT